ACCTGGCTATTGGGCTAGTGTCAATAAATCGGGAATCCAAGCCTAGAGTGTTGCTTAAAGCTAACTCATCCGGTAAACACTGCATTTCCATGATGCAACATTGAATTCCGGCATCTCTAATTGAACAATTGCGAATCAATAGGCTGTGGCATTAAGGAAATTTAACGGTAGTAACACACACTTCCATCATGATTCATAACTAGTACTTCTAATATTTAATATTTTTCTAACTTTTCTAACTAGCACGTCTAATATTTTTTACGCTCTAGAACCTTGTGCAAGAAGTATCTTTACAACGTTCTGAGGAAGGCCACAATACGCTGGCCGAAACGTTAGCCACCACGTCAGAGACGCGGCTCGTCCCGAATAGAGTAGATAACACAAACTCCGGCCACGGAAGCCTACGCAACCAAGTATATTTACACTTCACACAATACAGGTCACGTAGTGGCGCCATAACATTCTACGTTACGCCGCGCAAAAACTCTGCTCTTCATCAGGTGTTGATCGTTTTCCACAGATGCGACAACGGAGGGTGGAGATGGTTACCACGTGAGTCCGCATTTGCGTTTCATTTTAGAAGTCTAAAGACATGGCAACATGTATTACGATTTGACGGGATTTACAAGAACTAAGGAGTTTTCATGGGATGTTTCAGTTTATTTAATTTCGCCTAATTTTGAATTTTGGAGTGCCTGGTTACAATTCTGTTTATCGTATGATAACTTGATACTAAGTAACATTTTTTTGCTCTTCTTAAACTAAATAAGGTAATAAAATTAACAAAAAATAACATTTTATTAATCCTATCGTCATCTAAAGGATTCGAAATTAGAATTTTCTTATATAGTTATTTTGCTAGTTCGTCACCTACCGCGCGTTCAAATCTCTTCTTCGCGGAAGATAAACAGACTGAAGAGACGTGGCGCACTGCCAATCCTCTCCGGGCCCTTGGGGATTCCTGGGAGGTTCTGACGAAGAGCTCGTGGAACGATACATTCACAGGCACTTCCCGACCAGGACAGGATGGGAAAAACATACAGGTTATACCCGAAAAGCGTTTCTTTGTTTTGGCTAATCCTTTTTTCTTGGGTTATTTTTGTATCGGTTAGAATCATATTTTGCAAATCCAACCGAGAAAAAGTGGCTTTGAGGAAAGATCAATTAAAGAAATTAGTATTTGGTGGTACAGTGTATATATATATATATATATATATATAAATATAGTAATCAAAATTTGTGGTGTGGTCGTGTGTTGTGTGTGTTTTTACAGGGATTCTGAGTCTAATACGAGCGCAGATGATACGCTCCCCGTACGTCGTCCCATAGTGTTTTTCGTGCGCTTCCGATAAATACAATAATAGAACTGGCGGAGGTTGGCGCTTCACCACGGTCGCCCCTGAAGATGCAGACAAGTGTCCGGTTCGCTCGCGCTGAAGGCGCGGCACTCGCGCGTCTGCAGCCGCGGCCCCGCCGGTGTCATGCCGCCGCCCCGCCCACCGCCTCCGCCTCCGCCCTGCCCGCTTGCACTGGCTGGAGCGCCGCCGCAACCCCGCCGTCGGCGCTTCGGCCACCGGCCGACTGCCGCCGACCGCAAAACACGCGCCCCGCGGCCGATCGCGTGGACTATCCCGCTCGCCTAACACGCGCTCACTGTGTGATTGCGCGGACGCTCCGTCGTTCTCGTCCGTTGTTTTCTGAAGCCTCCGAAGTGTTCTCGACGTTGGAGATCAAATGTGGATGTTTGCTCATCTACCGAAACAATTTCGCTGACGTTAAGCGGTGGCTGCGTCGCAGCAAAATATCTTTCTTCCGATTCATTAAACACTACGATTTTTCAAGTGATGGCTAAACTGTGAAAACAGTGAAAAGTACCTCTTTCGATGCACTGAATTATATTTAAGCAGCACATTGGATTATGCACGAATTGCTTGTCTGTAACCAATGTTCTAAAGAGAACCAAGAAAAATTCACATGAAAAATTTGAAAGTTGCGATCTTAACCATAATGTTCGAACATCTGTCATGAGGGAAGGAACGAAAGGAGAGAAATCACATTGGATGCATTTGAAATTTTACTTCAGAATTCTCCGAAGAAAACTGAAGAATGCGGGCACTTCCTTACAATTTCCTCATTGCAGTTTGTTTTTTGCTAAATTTGGAATCTCAAAGTTTGATTTATTGACAACCCACTTTCCTTGTTGTCTGAATAAATCATAATTAGTGATCAAAATAGCTACGCCGACGCCAGCTGATGACGAATCAGTTTTCCTGAGAGCTTGGCTGTGGCTGACGGTCGAGGAGAAAGTAGGAGAGTAGCAAGAGCTACACTCTAATTTAACGGTATTAGAAATGAAATGCTGAAATATTGGGGCTAGAAATTTGGAAATGCGTTTGGAAATACTGTGTACAGATTTTTAAAAACACATTTCAGAGATGTGGTTGCTCGAAGATATTAAAAATATGAATTTCGGAATATAAATCTTCCGCGGTAGTAGTAATGAACGTCACGGAATATTTTTGAAAGTAATTTCCATTCATTGATACCGGATATATTTAATAGTTGCCAGATTGTTCAGAGATGTTTTACAATGATATGTTCGTTTCTCTCGGCGAAGAATATAGCCTACATCAATTTACAAAAGAAGCTTTCTAGATTTGCCAGTTGCACGAATCTTCAGTTATTTCTACTCAATTATGGGTATTCCTTTTAAATAATTTCGCTCTCTGCTTCAATGAATTGATTAAAACTCAACGTATTTCAAGTTTTCTTGTTATATACGAATCACTCCCTGTCTTGGTGACGGAAAGTCTCGAGACTCGCACTTGTAATAGGCGGCGAAGTCTGCGGGTTCGAGTCCCGCATGAGGTATGTGTGTGTGTCTGTGTTTATTATGTGATTTCGTCGTGATTGACTTTCCCATACCACCTCGTATCTCATTTAAATATTTTCTCATCTTCAATAGTTCACCTACAATCATCGTTATCATCATCATCATCATCATCATCTCCATTATCATCATGCTTCACCTCTACCATCCTTCTTGCAGAGGAAGGCAATGGCAAACAACCGATGTGATCATCTGTTCAGAGAAGGGTAGGGCAAAAAGGTCTAAGCCTTTTTCCTCGCCCACACCCGGGAGTATAGTATGGAATTCATAATAATAATAATAATAATAATAATAATAATAATAATAATAATAATAATAATAATAATAATAATAGTAATAATAATAATAATAATAATAATAATAATAATAATAATAATAATAAACTCTATTATCCAAGGATATATAAAGTAGTTCCCGGAAATCTGACAATCTTGCTAATCTCTAATTAATGCCTTTTTACGAACAGTTTTTAGTTAACGCAGCCAATGAACTTCATTTCGGTAGGTTTTTTAATTATATGTGTAGGTCACTTATGAACGTTAGTTTGGTTTGAAAGTTACTGAAGAGACACAATCGCGGACCAACATTTACAAAGTGCTTCGAAAGCGGACGCTTGCACGCACATAAGTGAATACGTGTTCATGTGTATATAGCTTTGTCAAAGAGATTTTTCGTCTTCCACACAGAGAAACAAAAGGATGAGTTCTGTCAATCGCTGTTAGTTTTAAAACTTTTATTTCTTTTGAATGTAGAAGTTACAACTTTTTTATTCTTACCCGAATTAATTAATTCATGTCATTGTTTCAAAATATAAATAAGCCATAGTTACAAGCTTTTGTGATCATTGGGTTCCTGAATGGGTACTATTTAATCATGAGAATGTTTTCACCAATCAGTATATAATTTAACAAAATAATTTGCATTCTTTATTTTTTGTTTTGTTTATTATTATGAGTCAGAAAATTATATACTAACGTGTTTACAATCAGATACACTGAAACATTTTTCAGAATCGCATTAGGCTGATTCGAAAATTTGATTCATTTTTTCCTGAAACAACGATTAATTTATTTGAATATTAAGCATGCAAAAGTTCAAGATTCAGTGAAATTGATTAGAAACAATTTCAATGAAGCATAGATTAGTCACAAAAAAATGATGTCAGTACGCAATTTTTGAAGATATCTTTCTAATTCACATTTTGAAGAAGTTACACCCAGTAATATGAGTCAAAAGCACCAGTGTCAGCAACCGATCATACAAAATATTTTTTAAATGCGAAAACTCTAAACATAGCACGCGATCATTCTGTAAGTTTTTCATACACCGTGCGGACCATCATGAATTTCCAGCACGATTAATTATTAGGATAGTTCAAAATCGGTACATTTAAAGGTGATATTTGACAAGTGAACATCCGTATGACATTAGGTCACAACCAGAGTTTATTAATATCAATCACAAACACAAATTAAAAATCCCTTCTGTCTTGAATTTCATTGTTTTTTCACTACACCACGCGAGTATTTGCTCTGTATTCATACTGAAATTTTCTTCGCTTTTAGCGTCTGACGTGCTTAAAGAGCAGGTGCATAATTTACGTATATCATCATTTTAACGCGAGACAGGAATTTAGGTTTCGTCATGACGTGTATTCATATAATTAGATCGTCGCAAACATGAAAAAAACAACATTCGAGCTTCCTCCAAAAACTGGAACAAGACAGGAGACGAGCCGGCTTAGTTCACTCACCTTGAGGAGTCAGCTGATGGGTGTCAACGACGGTAGCTGCTGCCGATCTCGGTGTTTCTTGCGAATCCCGTTGTCTTCCTCTACCGTCCGGCAAACCGCTCCTCTTGTGTATCCGCTCTACAAACCGAACAACAGTCACTTTCCTTCAATGTGTCTATGGTCCACACGTACAATTGTTGCGATATTCACCAACAAAATGCTTCAGAAACGACTGTCACGGCGAAATACAGCGACAAACTCCCACACGAAAACAAAACGACAGCGAGCGTTCGACGAGCGAGGGACAGTGAAAGGGGAGGGAGCAAAATAAATCGACGAAAGGGAAATCACAACAATTCGTTAGGAATGGAGAAAAACTTGCGTGCGCTTTGCCGCCATGTTGGTCAGGCGCGAGCAGCAACAATGCAGGGCGAGGAGATGTCGCCGGCGGCGCGAGTAGCCATGGCAGGGAGCAGCGAGCCTCGCAGTGGCAGCTGGGGTCGAGCGCGCGCGCGCCGGTGCTCGTTGGGCAGCTCCGAGCGGCGAACTGAGCGCGAGCGAGGAAGTGGAGTGAATGACCCGTGCGCGCAGTCCGCGTTGCGCTGCGGGCCCCCCCGGCGCGCCCGCCGCCCCTCTCTCGCAACCTCCCTCCCTCTCGCCGGGCCTCCCTCCCCCAGCGGCACGCCACTCCGCCACTCCGCAGCTCGGCGCTCTCGCTCATCCACCTGCCCGCTGCCCGCTACCCGCCGTGCCCATTGGCCGACGCGGGTCACGTGCCGCGGGTGGTGCATTTTCAGCGCGGCGGCCCCTCTTTTTTTTGGTGGTCGTGTCCGGTTGATTTGATTTTGGGGTGAGCGTCGCGTGATTGGCATGGTGTCATACTTCCACGAGGATTCAGGAATTTGCGTGAGGGATAAATCGTATTGTTCATGTAAATCAATGGGTCACTTTTATTAGAAATGTGCGTCAGGATTGATCGGTAAACAAACTCCTGGTGTGGCTGCAATGGATAATGTTAAGTCGAGTTAACTCTCTCTTTGTGTCTAAGATCGAGGCCTTCGGCATGTCAATATTTTAAAACACCGAACCGAATTCTTATTGAACATACTAAATGGTTTAATTTGGTTTTTGTGGCGAGAGATCTGAGACACACCCGCCACCATAAACGAAAGAGAAATTTGGGCAGAGAATAATGGAGTTTGAGTATAACATTAGAGTTAGTTAAGAGATATTGGTGTATCGTGATGATCACTCAGAAATTAATTGCATTGGAGGTCGTATTTTCTGCGCCGTTCCCCCCTCTTTCTTTTTTCAGAGAACTTACTTGAAATGTGTATTGATCTTGGGATGCATGTGAAGAATGTCATACTTTCGCTAGAACCGAGGAATGTCGGTGGCGGGCGATGGGGAGGGGCGCCCAGAGGAAATAAGGTGCCTGAGGTTGTATGTCCGCAGGGGCCCCTGATTTCAAACGAAAGTTTCTCCCTCCCCCACCCCATACTTCGCTTCGTCGTGGCAGAGGCCCGATACCTAATGAGTATATAGGTAGGGGTTCGCCCTGGTGCAAATGAGGCAATTAGAATAATTCGGACTAACCTGATGGCAAGTGGTTCTGTTAGATGGAACAGCGCGGCCCCACCCAGGAACCAAATGGGAATGTCTACTAGACTGCGTGCCGGCGTGATCCGGCTTTCAGTCGGATGGTGGTACTACGCCACCTGAAGGGTGAGAAGTAAAACCGTATGATCTAGAAGCCCACTCGGAGCTTCTTCCCTGGAACTAGTAGAGCCGCCGCGGGCAACCGCAGGGGTGGTAACAATTGGTCCCCCCCCCCACATGAACATAATTCATTTCTTCACGAAACAGAAATAGCTAATGGCGCTTAATTTAATCTCGAAGTAAATACATTTTTTAATTATTTGAATGAATAAAATCGGGCTTCCAATGAAGTCGAGACTTGAGGCAAGTTGTCTCAGCTACCGCCCTCCCCCATTCTACCTGCTCCTGGTGGTAGGTGTATATATTCAGATAAATAACTCTGGATTTTACGAAAATATTTCTTCCCAAAGTTATGTTCGCTGCTACACTAGTCATGAAACAGTGAAGTCATCTTTATTTAATCACCAATGCTTTCTACGAAGGAGCAATTTAAAGCTCTATTTTTCGTGTTTAGTAATTAGGTTGATAATCGTGTGTGGAAAGTGACATTCTATTAATAGCACAACAGTGAATTAATTATCAACCACGTAATTAGGAAAACAAATTTATGATGTCATGTGTGCCATCTATCTGTTGACAGTCAAAGCATGTGCGACTTACATCATTTTACCATAACCGTTTTTTTCTCAGTTCGCTGTGAATATTCAATTTGTATCAAAAGAATGAATCATTAACAATTCTTTTTAAAGACACCCTTTTGGAGTATATGGCAATTCACAAATTGACCTACATGTCGGAATCTAAAAAAGGACCCCCAGTTTCTCTTACTAACTTCCTTCTGAGAGAACTGTGCTGAGGATCTCGTCCCATTGCTAAACAGAAAAAAAAAGATAAAGTGTCGTCTTATTTCTCGCGATGTTTAGGATATCGAGATATTGAATGGAAATTTTAAAAAAATATACTAATCTACACTGAAGTATAAAAAATTAAGTTGCTTGAGCAAAAAATCTTATTTTCAATTTGTTTGAGATTGAATATGTTCTTATATTGTTCCTCAAATTTATTTTTCAAATATCCATTTAAAATTTGGATTTCTTGTATCTTGCTCTTTCGATCTTATTGCCCATTTAATTTAGAATTTTTATTAAAAATATCCATTTAATTTAATTTTTATGTACAAAATATGCAAATACAGCAGTGATGTTAATTGCATTTCACATTTCGTTATCAATCACATCCTATATCATTTCCTACGTAAATGATGTAACACCATTTAGGCTCATATACAGAAGTATAAACGGATAAAAATTATACGAATTAGCACTCCATACAGATAAAATTATCAGTGTGATAATATTTATTGAAATTGTGTTGAGAAATTTTCAAATTTTTGGTTTTTCGAATGATGGGTCGCAGACCCAACGCCTCAACCCCCGTGCCTGCAGGGTCTAGGTTTATTCTTCAGGGTTCTCCATCCCATAGGGAGGATGGTTTCATCACATTCACAGAGACTCTCTCCCCTTTAGTTTTCTGTAAGGATTTTCCTTCCATTGGTCCAATGTTCCCGTTTTTAAGCGCCGAAATCTCGCCTTCGCACAACTCTCATTAGCGACTTTGAGATGAGATTTCGCCGCAGGTAGTACCCAGGAGTTACAACGTGGAGGAGAGAGACTGGACATTCTGTGCGCTCTTCACCGCTCTTCTAGTGGAAACCCCCATTACAAGGGGAGCATCTCTAATTAATGGTATAGGCCTATAAGCATCAGCCTCTCCCGCTAATTCCCTAGTCAATCTTGTTCCCCAATGGATAGGTCACGGTGGCCAAAGAAGTGTGGTTGTGAACACCTACAACAAGAAAAAAGGTGGCAGGACAGCCAGATGCTGCAAGAAGAAGATATGGAGGCAAGACATCTACGAGAAGGAGACTGGGCATACCGACATTATTGGAAGTTGAGAAGCGAGAGTTGGCGTCAATCGTATAAAACGATTGAAACTGTATGTTAAAGCGAAACTTTCTGAACACACGTATGTAAAGAATGAAAAAAATGAACTGCTTAATTATCTCTAACAATCCTGATAGAACATTAAATATCCTGGAAAAATAAAACCGGTATGTTACATCACTTGGGCTTTAAGGGGTTCGTATATTACAATCAGGCAGGAAAAATTAATGAATTTGCAGTTTTCTAAAACAGAAGCTTTCTATTACAAATCGTATCAATTTCTTTAGCTGTGCGACGAAAGACGAGTCAGGATGGCCAAATAACCTAGGTACGGTGAAGGAAGGTGAAAGAAATAATTCACGCTCGATACATGTCACCTTATTCCAGGTGTGATCAATATATTAAAATAAAGTTCTGGCCTGGGAACACATCTGGCAAATGTCGGATTACTCCAAATGTTAAATATTTGTATATACTGCAGTCATAAACGTGGAGCAAAACATCGCTTTGTACGAACAGAATGAATAAGATATTAACCACCCAGTGCGTTATAACAATGACTAAAATTAATTTATAACATCATTAGATAATACGTCATGAGTGTTATTCAATACTATTTTGCATTGGTATGTCAAGAACGGAAACAGAATATTATCTTCGTTATATTATATATAAGTTATACCAATGGCCCAACCAAGATTTTCATTTGCACTTGGGCGAAAGTAGTTATACACGAAAATATATCTTGTTCAATTTAATATGACCGTGACAATAAATAATAACAAAAATATTCCTAGTATTAAGGACAATCAAAGATTACATTCAAAATTAAACTGCATTTCAGAGGAGTTGCCACTGCATTGTTATTGATAGGAAAAGCAATTTATAATCATATAATACTTAATTAAAAATCCTGATCAGTTGCTTCATCATGTATCTGCTCTTTCATAAGATCTTCTGTGTCATTCTCAGCGTGTTCCTGTTATTCCTGTTCAATTTTCTCTAAACCTTCTCTTCAAATACTACAGCAATGGTGACTTCATTGAAAATAATTTTGGCAGCACTGTTTATTCTGGAACGACGCAACCTTTCTACTCTCCTAGTACTTCTCTCGACTGCATTTCTCTGATACCCATCAAATACAATTCCGATATTTTGACCATTATGTCAGCATAAAGCTGACATACCTCTCACCAATTGAAATAAAACAGCAAGAAGCATCACAACTTTGTATAATAGGAATTCATCTACAGCCGCACATTTCTTTTCGTCTATACATTTCCAACTCTGGAGTGGAGAGAAAGCGTTGTGCTGTGAGAACTTATTTTCCTTGCCCACCCTTGTTCTGTAAAAAGTGATTAGGTGTGTGTTGTCAGTACAAAAGTGAAGTATTGTTTTAGATCTTCATCGGACTGCTTTGCTAAACAAACTCTGTTAAATATTGTAAGTGGGTCAACAACTTGTATTTTCTTGTTCATACTTTGAGATTGTTTGAGACAGATGCAAAAGTGTGTATATTGTTTTTTCCTTTCAGTTTCATACTTTCAAATTTATAACCAATCATCTTAGAAACGATAGTACGACCTATAGTCCGAGATAAATGGCAGTTTATCTTCTCTCCACTAACGAGTTCGCTGCTTTTCGATATTATATGATTAATTCTTGATAAAGGAAGACTGTTATATGGAAATTTTTCTGAGAGGGCCAAATACGCATTTTTCTGTATTTTTGCTGTCACGTCCAATAAGCAATAATTTCCTGTCAACGTGCCGTCCAGGTGTCATTGACTCAACTTCG